AACTAAATGACAAAATAAAAAACCAATGGTGAACATGACAAAGTTGCTCTCATCAATCATGAAGTAGTGATGGATCATTTACAGAACATAAAATTCTATATTGGATAGTTATATTAACTTTGTTTCTGTACAAAATTTGTTAAGATTGTCGCCTGTAAGTAATTGTTACATGAAAGTTATGCTCAATTACCTGTATAAAGATGAGCGTGCAAAATTACACCTTAGGAATCTGGCCACATGGTCAAGAGCCCAACAAAACACAGGAATGAGAGCAACTGCAGCACAAATTGGCATCACAGGATACTAATCAACAACACAATATAACAATGCCTCAAATATTAGTGGTTTGAGGTTAGGAAGTTCCAAAACAACAACATATTAAAAAATAACTCACACTTAAAACGTAGCTGCAGTGTAACAAGTGTGATACAATATATCAAATGGATAAAATCCTTCCCTCCAACCACTGTCTGAACCCATGTTTGAATAGCAGGGAGGTTCCATGCCCTTGGTTTCTGTGAAGAGAAAAAAAATACAGGATAAATCTGCAATTATAAAGTATAAATTACCATGCTTGACCAATACAACTAACTTAAAACTCTGTAAGTCTTTATTTGCAATGACTATTATCTAGAACTCACCCCATAGAGACTGTACACTGAATAAACTGAGGAACATGCAGTACCCAGCAAGGACAAACGATATGCCTTGTTTGAAAGATTTCTTGAAGCAACTGGAAGCATCCCAAGCACAGCAACCACTAGTACCTAATATAAGATACATCAGTTTATAAAAGATGGGCAGAAAAATGCAGTAAGCAACTTCAAGGGAAAAAATATAAATACAAATAAGCACAAGCACTAAGTCATACACACTAAGACATTTGTGATACATGTGTGCACCCACCATGGTGGCAACAGCATTTCCACAGATAAGCACAAATTTGAGTTTATATAAACCAAGTGACTGCAAGGACAATTTGACAAACAAATGTACAGGACAAAGATTAAGATAGTTGTTTTAAGAGCCCCAAGAATTTCTACAGAATTAGATGGCTGTTACCAGCTTCTGTGATAAACATGAAATCTGTAAAAGAACTCAAGGTTTTCATCCTATATGGAAGATACCTTCAGTGTCCATGGCATAGTCTCAAAAGCATTTTTATAGACTTGCAAGTCAATGTACATATTTTCTATCTAATATCTCTCAAATGATACAGTTGAGCCCCATGGACTGAAATACATGCTGGGACATTGGTGCATCCCTAAGTGTCCAAACATCATAAAACATAGGAAAGTCAGACCAATACCTCCTAAAGAACATATGAGCAGCAAAAGCAGAAATATAATATTAAGGGAAAAAAAGGAACAAAATTTGCAGTAGTTGAAAGCAAGAAAATAGAAACCAGTCGGACCGGTAAACGTTGATCCAACCAAATATGCGACCTGAATAGGGCAAGTTTTCCAAATCCAGCCTGAATCAGGGTTACCACCTTGTAACACTACCAAATTGGCTTACCATCCAGTTTTGATGATTGAAACTGGAGATCATAGGCAGTATGCCTATCATCTGGTACCCCTAATGTGCGTTTCTTTTTTTTTACATAGGACATATTTTGCCATCCTAATATCAGAGAAACTCTGATCAACTGAATTTTAGATTCAATGATCAATTCCATAGTCTGGTTCTTTCAACTTGTTTTTTATTTATTTATTTGAGGCCATTTTCTCTTAAGATGAGGTGATATTATCAATAACAAGCTTTGTTAGGTTATTAAACAGCAATGATATATTCAACTACAAAAATCAAAGGATATAAATAACAAAGTAATAAATATCAGATTCCCTCAAGATATTTGCTCCAAGGGCCCAACCTATCAGTTCTAGACATACAGACATACAATCAAGCATAAAAAACTGGAAACAAACCTACCTATTCCTGGCAATTGAACAGTACTCGGACACTATATTTTATGTATAAAGAAACACGAGACGAAATGTTTTACATACCCAAGCATTGACAGAAAAATGTATAGATCGTTGATCCAGCCTCAAAGGATTAGCATTCCCACCCACTGACGCAGCTGTTCCCGTACTACCACTACCAGACCCTGCAAAAAATGTCAAGTTCAAAGGTATAGTTCTTCTTTTCCAAAAAGAATCTTAAAGTACTTTTGTAAAAACTTTGAACTTCTATGGCAGCATATTAGTTATAATATAAGCAATGGAAAGGTTTTAAGTTTCAATCCACCTGAATTCTGTGGCCTCACATTTCGAGCAGTTGACTGTGATGGTCTCTCTGATGCTCTTGAAGACTGTGTTGGTTGTGATGAAGGTCTGTCTGATGCTCTGGATGACTGAGAAGAACTAGTTGAAGACATGGTCTCCACAACAAGATCAGGATCCTAGAAGTTAATTATAATATCAGAACATGTAAAAGCAAAATGTAGAAGGACCTTTTTGGCGACATCTAGAAACATCAGCCGCTTTTGGAAGAAACTACAAGCCATCAAAACCAGGGTACTTGAAAAGTAGCTTTAGTTAAGCCAAGATTACCAAATATAGATTTGATATATCAGATTATAGAATACCATCAATTAATACAAGTAGTGTTCCATTGTGGAAAACTCAATCATTTGACTAAAATTAGATTTTCTAATCCCCAAGAACTCCAGTATGCACTATCTCTGTAAATATACCAGATTCGGAATGGATGTGTCAATTCATATCCAATCTAACTTTAGAAAAAGTAAAAAAACTATGTTAATAACCAGCAGACAACCAAGATGCCAACCAGTTTTGGAATCCATTAAAAAGTGGTCATAAATCCGATCCAAACCACCGATTCCTTATAGTTAGAACTTGAAACACCACATTTCAGAATGAAGGATGAGGCATAGAACAGGTATAAGTGCAACAAGCAGTGGACACTGAAGGATCACCTGAATAGGCACACAACGAGAGATATGTATGCTTCTAGCATTAGTCCCAAGGGGGCAGGTTGCTTGGAAATGGAAGGGTAAGAGTTGTCAAGGCCGGATGCCAATTATGCAGGTTGGTACATTGGAAGCGGCATGAATGTGGAACATTATTCTTGGCATCTAGATCTGGCTGGCTCTCCCCAGTGCTGACTGTGCATGCATGAAGTGTTATGAGAGTGATCCATCGTTCTTGGTTTCTAGATCTCTATCTGGCTCTCCCCATAGTTGACTGTGCATGTATGCATGTGTAAGTGTGGTGTGAGTTTATGCTAGCTGTCAAGAAAGAAAAGGATAGGGCAGAGAAAGGGAAGAGTTTTAACTATCAAATGAATGAGGAAGAAAGGACGAGGCAGAGCGTACATCCGCACCTCAATCAATCAAAGAAATGAATTGTAAACCACATCAACAAAATCACATCCTTCCATATGGAGACCAAAAGACTGAGCATAAACTGCCGAAATAGCTATCAGGAACTTGATCCCTATCAAAAACCTCACGAAGGCAGCATTGAAATCGAAAAGCCAACAGATCCATATGACCATGAGAATGAAATGATCCATTATTAATGACAATAGCCAAAATTGAGCAACATCAAATCTGAGTAAAATCAATAAATTCACAAAAAGCTCGAGGAAGAATAACAAGTACTGAACGTATTAGAAGACGACAAAAAAAAAAAAGCTAAACCCTAAATAGGAACTTGCTGGGTTCGAGCAAGAAAAGAAGCTAATGATCGACTTTCAAAAGCACAAATTCCTAAATTAGCAGAGTACCAATTGAGTTCCCCAGGAAAAGAACCAGGAAGAAATAGCTGCACAAAGAACTAAGCTGCGCCTCAGCAAAAGCGACTGCTGATGATCAAAAGAAAACTACTACAAGTTGTAAAACGAAATGTTTCATAAGATAACAAATAATTAACCAGAATCCGTCCATATTAAAAATAAAAATGCACCTCTTTGCATACATAGCTCAGGAGAAGAAAAAGAAGATGATCGAAACCCTAATTTGTCACACTAATATATTTCTGACACAACCGAGACCAAGAACGCGGATCGCGCGATCTTTGTCTCATCTTAGGCATTAATAGACCACACCAGAAGACAGAGGCGGGTCACCAAATCGAACGACAAGACTAGGAAAGAAACCTACTATGAAGCGCTGGTAGAACTTGCGCTTGAAGTGGTCAACGACGTCGGATCGGGCGGCCATGTGAGGCGGGATCAGGATGTTGGAGTAGTACTCCGCCCATCGGGGATCGTTGTCGTAGTCGTACGCCGCCGCCGCGATCCTCTTCAGCCGCTGTGGATCCCTCTCCTCCTCTCCCATAGTCGGCCAGCCACAGACCGAAATCCTCCCTCTCTCTCTCTCTCTCTCTCTCTCTCTCTGTCTCTTCTCGATAAGGTAGGAATGCGCGTGACGCGATCGACGGAAGGCGAGGACGGCTTCGATGAGGACCGAAGATGAATGATTCGATGCTTCTCTTTGGTCTTGTCGTCGCAGTCGCGGATCTTATTCGGGGGTACGGATCAGATCCGATTAGAACTGGTAATGGATCGAATTTGTGACTCAGTGGATCGGATCCAACCCGATTGGATCAAAATTTTGACCCAAAACATGGAAGTGGCAGCAATTAATCGGATCGGGCGTGAACGGATTCGATTCGAAAAATAGGCACCCGAGTTGAGTTCATATTCAAATTCAAGTACCTAAACACTTGAAATCCTTTACATGTTTGCTGCAGCTTGCCAACAAGTTATATATGAGATTGAAAGATGAACATGGGGATAAGGTCCTACACAACCCTCCTCAGATCCAGCATCATTTTTCTTGAATGGAGATTTACAGATGATAACAGAAAACCATGCAACTTATGGAGTTCTTAATGCCATTTCAGTTAGATATGTCTGCAATATAACCACCAATCGAAGAAATGTTGCTGCTACAGATTAATAGAGTATCCAGTGATCATTTCAGAAAAAGTCAAATGTAGAACAGGGCAGCTAACAAGTAGAGAATTTAATGGCTCAATGAAGCAAAAAAATCTTTTAAACCATCTGACACCAAACATTGGTGTCAGTGTAGCATACAGCAAATTTGCTGCTAAGAAGAAGACTTTACAAAGACAGTCTCAACAGATGCAAAGAACCACCTGCAGTTTAGGAGGATAAAGATGTAGGATTTATTCAATGAAACAAAAAAAATGGGTTGAGACTATATAAACTTTTACAATTATGTTTTGGATCTAATTACAACAAAATTGATACAGAAAATGATTGAAAGGGAACAATCGTTTAGCTAGTTCGACTGCAATCACCACTGTAATCCTTGCTGGCGAATCCCATCCTCTGAAATATTCTGATTTCTTCAGACTGTGGAGATGAATTAAAGGTTTCACTATGGCCTGGCTGGATGCCATTGTTTATATCTAAATCGGATAAACCATCGAGAGCTCTGGCCACCTAAATTCATTCACAATTTACAGAAAATATCAGTATGCAGTTTTTCTTCTAGCACAGAGATAAGTATTTTTCGTATTTCATATGTTCGCTGTACGACAATCTTCACTGACCGGAAGACCACATATAGTGGCACAACCCTGTCAGTGGCAGGATGTCAAATTAGGTTGTCTGGAGAATAGGTGTATCAATTATTTATCTTGGCGAGCATCTCTGCAATCTTAGTTTATTTGTCTATACTAATCAGACCTTACCTGACCCATTCGAGGCCTCATATCTGATGAATGACGAGTGCATGCAGCTGCAACTTCGATCATACGAAACATCTCATCTTTGTTATAGTTTCCATCGAGCCTAGGATCTGGCAGATCTCCAAGATCTTCGTTTTCAAGTGCTTGAATAAGCAATGGTCGAGCCTGAGATAAGATAGCAGTTGAATTGAGAATCTTGAAAATGTTTTAAAGATCATTTCAATGCAAAATCTCAGGCTGCACAACAGCAAAACATAGAATTCGAAAAGAAGATTGGAAAAGATTGGTTTAACACAGTAATAGTTTCTACAATGATGTGCAGCTGCCCTTGATGTAGGCAGAAAGATCGCATGTTAGTAGCATAAGATCCATATGTTATAGATATGATAAACAGAATTCAGACTGTTGATATATAGATATGAACCACATGAATGCAAAATCTCTATATGAATAAAACAGCACAAAACTTCACCTTATGGTTCCTTATAGCCCACATGAGCAGTTTAGGCCAATACTGCAATGATCATTACAAATAGAAAAAACATAGAAGGGAACTCTCACAAAATAACATCACAATCTCCTAAAATTCTTAGTGAAACATGTAGACAAGATTTGATATCTATCCTTCTAGTCTGAAACGTAGGCTCTCAACATGTTTTCAATGTGCTGATGAGGAAGCAAATTGAACAGAAGAAGCTCTCAACCACTTCATACCTGCTCATAGTCACTATCGAATCCTACTTTATTCCTACATCTCCTGAAATGTAGTGTGCCAAATGTAATTTGTATCTTTTTCCACTGTCATTACAACACCTGAGGTTGACAGTCTACCGTATTATACTCCTAAGTGTCATCCTCTCATGGTCATCCACAACCAAAGAGTACGTGGATCATGGCTCAGCCTGCAGACAAAAGTTCTTTCCATTTTCATTTTGACTTGGACCCACTAGGAAAACTCACATGTTCTTCCTCTTCATTCCATATAAATGTGAGAAACAGCTCCAACCACAACACCAAAAGCAGGTGACACTTCTCAAAAACTGAATGTGAACCACTTTAGTATGCAACATTTTTTATATCCCTGTAACTTAGGCAAGGATACATTAAGACAAAACATTAATAATTATGTCTCGCCTATGAATGAACGAAAGCTGAGAAAACTAATAACACTGCAAGAGCTGCATGCTCCAATATGCAAAGGAACATGATCAGCCGAAGTGGAACAGAGGTGGATAACAAGATGTGGAGATTCTGTAGAAGACTGCTAATAAGGAAATGTTATACTTCAGGATTAGAAGAAGATAAAAAACAAGACGACAAAGAGAAAACCATCGATTACAATTATCCTGCACTAGTATAACATGAGGAGAAATCTCGTCCTATTAAGCAGCAAAGATACCAAGACAACTTCTTGCAAATGTAAAAACAAATTTGTGCAAGAAATAGATTAGGTAGTATTACATACAAAGAGAAAAGAGAGCCCTGGCTTTAGAAATAATGAATATTTCTTTCCCAAACTGAATGCTGCAGTATTCTAACTGCTAATGTGCACTTGATACTACAAAAAATTGTGAAATGTTGCAGATATAGAGTTTACCCATTCAACAAGACTCTCATCTCCCAAAGGTTGAGATGTATCAACAGGCTTCCGTCCTGTAACAAGTTCTAAAAGAACCACACCAAAAGAATACACATCAGATTTAGCAGTTAACTTTCCACTTCTCACATACTCTGGAGCTAGGTATCTGCAAGAACAACACATCATCAATTCTGCAAGTGTTAGTGGAGCTTCTAGTCTATAGGTTAACAAGGTATCCAAGTTTCATAATGTTCACCTACCCAAATGTTCCCATTACACGTGTGGTCACGTGTGTGTTAGTATCCATAGCTGACTTTGCAAGACCAAAATCAGAAACCTAATACACCAGAACAAATCAGTTACAAGCTTGACAAAAACATTTAGGCAACATTAGCAACACTATATGTTCAGAGCAAGCAAGTCATGGATAACCTGAGCTTCAAAGTTGTAATCTAAAAGAATATTTGAGGACTTTATATCTCTGTGGATTATCCGAGGGTGACCTGACAGAAAAAATTAAATTGACCCAAATTGCTATGTTAGTGCATATTCTTCAAGGAGAAATTGTACTATGCAACAAGAAAGGGGATGAGAAATTACAATCTTCATGAAGGTATGCTATTCCACGAGCTGCACCAGCAGCAACCTTAAGCCTTATTGTCCAATCCATTACTGGCCTTCCTTTCCCTGCAAAAGCAACTCCATCTAAGAATGCTCACTGCATATGCAATTTGATGGGGAGATTCTAGATGTTTGTGCAACTTATTGTGAGGCTGTAAAAATGAGTAGCTGATAGGAGAGAGATTATTTCTTACCATGAAGATGATGATAAAGAGTTCTATTGGGCACATAGTCATAGACAAGCAATCTCTGGTTCTCTGATATACAGTATCCTACAAGTGAAACCAGGTGGCGATGGTGTACACGACTAATAATTTCAACTTCTGCTTTGAATTCACGCTCTCCTTGTGCACCATCAACTTTGAGCTGCTTCACGGCCACTTCCCTTCCGTCCAGTAAGAGTCCTTTATATACACAACAAGATCCACCTCTACCTAACAGATTCTGAGTTGAAAAGTCGTTTGTAATGAGTGATAGCTCCTCCAATGTAAACCACAATTTTGCGTGACCTAACCCTGGTTCCAGTGCTGAGTAAGGGAAGCCATAACTCACTCCAGACCCATGTCTTACAAGAGGATTTAATGAAGATCTTGAACGGGATAACTCTAACAAGGAAAGACAAAACCTGATTAGTCTAACAGCTGATCCCAGGATGGAATTGGACATTTTCTTGTAGTTACATAAGATTTGTAACTTGTGATTATCTAATGTTGAAGTCGTAAATAACATGTTTTCCCTTACACATGCTCATTTTTGAGTCGATAAAATGGAAACTTCAGGCCTTACCTGACATATGTGAAGATACTGTTGAAGCCATAGCAAGATTTCCACCATGTCGAGGAGGTTCAACTGGCTTCTTTCGCTTCTTCACAAGCCACACAGCTGCTCCAACAAAAGTAAGCATCACAAGACCTGCTACAACAGCAAATGTTGCAACAGATTCAGCAGTACTTATGGTGCCTCTCGGGAAGTGGCTGCTACGTTTTATGGAACCTGCATTTTTTGTGGGATTGGATGACTTTGTGGTGTTGGGCTTAACTGGAGTAGCTGAAGGTAGTGATGGCAGGTTTCCATGGGGCACAGGAGAAGATAAAGGTGGAGTATAATTGCTAATAGATGGAAAAGGAGAAGGTGGGAGCACTTTAGGTGGAGGTGCCAATGAAGTCAAAGGTGGTACATGCGATGGTGGTGGTGGTGGCGATTGATAGTAGATTGGTAATATTGGAGGCATAACAGCTGGTGAAGGTGACAATGGCAGCACTGGCGGTGGAGGTGATGACAACGGAGGAGGAGGAGGAGGATGGGATTCCGGTGGTGGCGGCGACAAGGCTTTTGGTGGTGGAGAAAAGGCATCAAGTGGAGCACTTGGTGGCTCGGAAGCTGGCGGTGGTGCAGTTGGAAGAGGTGGCGGCAGGGGAGGGGATGAAGGGGGATCGGCAATGGAAGAAGGCGACGGGGTCCAAGTCGGCGATGGGCTGCAATACCTACTGGGCTGAGTTTGTGGTGGTGGAATGACATCCGGTGGCGGCGGCGGCGGCGGCGACGCATAGTGGAAAGACGCCATCTCTTTCTTCCAATGCACCATCATGACAACAAACCAACTCCGGTCTCTACCAAGAATGCTCAGAAGAGCATCGGCAACACCATTTCCATCAGGAGTCTTTCTCGAAGGCTGGCGAACTCAACAGAGCTTCATATCTCCATGAATGCAACAGCATTTCTTCGCACACCCACAATCAGAATCAGCGAAGCTCTAAACCAATTCACCCCATCAGAGATCATCATCCCAAATCCTATGGTGCTGCAATGGAAATGCTCTGCTCCAACGTGAGACCAAGTGACTACACCAGTCTGAATGCTCAAGATCTATGTCCGCTTAAAGGTCACCACGTTCCAAAAAGATTTCAACACCTACTTGTAGCAGCAACAGCGAATCGCCCAAAACCTACAACTAACTTTAGCCAGAAAATAAAAACTCGTCAAAAATCGATCTCTTACGTAGAAAATCGTCACGAAAAGATCAAGTCCACACCGTACGGTTTGATTTCAGTTCCAGCAAGAAAATGAGGGAGATTCCCCAAAAATTTCTAGTTTCTGCCCCCCCGGAACTCACCAAGATCCAACCTTTCTAAAAGGTCCTCTCTCCAAAGACCAGTCGGTGCATATTCGGGATCTAAAAAAAGCCAAATCTCACAATGTAAAAACCACGCCGCCGCAAGAACAAGCCACTCCGAGGAAGAGGAGGAAGAAAAAGAAAGAACCCGCCTTTGCAGATCCTTCGGCTCCTCCTCGCCCTGGATTGGAAGGACGGCTTCAACAGCGCCCCAGTGTACCAGTTTTGGAGAGCGCGAGATGCAGGTAGCAGTTCCGGAAGCCGCGTTTGGAGGTATTACCAGCTGGAAGCCAAGACGAGGAAGCTTTTTATATTACGGCGATGAAATTATTGTATCCTCTTTCTCCCCGCCAATGCCAGCTTTCTTTAACGAGCGTGAAGACGAATCTGATAAGATCATATAGCGGAAATTTTATCTCCGTTTTGGATACCAAAACACCAGTTTAAATTATATGTATTTGAAACAAATACAATTATATATGTGAACAATAACATGATACCAAAACACCGTTTACTGTTGATTCATTGAGAAGGCAAAGACTGGATTTCTTGGCTACTTCAATGGAAGAATACAAAGAATCCCCACAGGTTTCTGTTGTGTCTGATCTGTTCTGACATTGATGGATGGAGAGACCCCACTCTTCTTCATTATTTCCTGCAAAAGCTGCTGATAAGCAATTTGAAAGAGTCATATATCACACAGCAGAAGAAAAAAGAGGAGTTGATTGCAAATCAATCGAGCACAGCATTAGTTCTTTTTTTTTATTTGTGAATTAATCAGTCTATATACTAAAATTTAGGCACCAAATAGAATTAATTCCAAAGCTTGTTCCTGATCCAATGTGTTCTTAACTCTCAGAACTGATGATCCACTCCAGAAACCTGCAAGCTAAAAGTATGTTCCTTTCTGTGTGCTTGGATTCTCTTATCATCTTTATTGCTTCAACTCATCATCTCCATGGTGATTGAATACACCGAATCTGTACTTTGTTTCACATGGCCATGTCATTCTTGTCTGGTCCCTTCACAGTCTTCTAAGATACGTATTCTCCCCTCATCCTCAACAAGTTATATTCTGAAACTCTATGAAGTATCCATCTTGGATGCCTTGCAGAAGTCCATCTTGGAGCAGCAGGGAGAGCATCCGAAGGTGCTTGCTGGCTTCGACAAAGTCCACTGCCTCACTGTCTCGATTCACTGCCAGTTCATATGCAATCATTGCTGAACCTCACACATAAGCAATCATTGTTGTACAAGTCTTGACATATCATCCGGAAAAGAAAGATTAATACCTTTGAAGACATCTCGGGATCTCAATATCGTATTGGACTGATGTTGCCAATGAGATTACCGAAACCGACATGTAAAATCTTGATCTAAGGCAACACTATCAAAGGCTGAATGGCGGCTTAGACTGCCCCATGAAATTGGAGGATCGGATTGCCAAATGCTCGTTAATTTTCTTCTCATTTTCTAGGATTAGGTTTGACCAGAGCTTTAGAATTGATTCAAATGCCTACTAGCTGGATCGACAATGATATGAACCACATGTCAAGAAGAACAAAGTAGTAATCTGCCTGCCAGGCCCTTACAGCCCTGGTCATCAAGGAAGACTAGAAGTCAACTCCGTGGCAAAATCTTCCTCCATTTCTTTAGATCTGACCAAGTATTCAGTTCTAAAATAACTTTTTCTACGGAGAAAGTCTCAAAAAATCGGGGAATTCTTCTCCCATGTGCCATAGTTTACGCGTAATTTGGACAAGTCGAATAAGGATCAGGAATTCATTTAGTCAACCATGCAGATACAGAAATAGTTTGGATTGAGAGTTCGAGAAGGAGGAAGAAGAAGAAAAGCAAACTGTTTGACTAACACGATTCCGTTGTCGTAGTCAAATACTTGTGATATCATCTTGTGGATTGAATTCACGATGTATTCCATTCAACTGTCATCAGCTACTCTGTTCCTATTTATTGGAAACGGCAAAGCCGAAGTAGAAGACCAAGCGAGAGAGAGAGAGAGAGAGAGAGAGTTGCGCAGTTGCAGCAATGGCGAAGGCGGAGCAGCAGGTGGTGCTCTCTCGGATTCTACTATTGCTGCTGGTGTTCCACCCCCAGGTCAACGGTCTCTCCAACACGGAAGGTATATGATCTCTCTCTCTCTCTCTCTCTCTCTCTTTCTCCCGTTCCATGTTCTTAATATCGCCACACTGTTGACTGTAGTCTTCAGCGTCTTATTGGGATTCTTTGACGCTTCTCTACTACAGTTTTTATGTTTTTGTTCCTAATGATTGTGGAGTTTCCACCTCAACAGTTGATGCATTGTATAGTCTGAAGTCCAACCTCATTGATCCTGACAATGTTCTGCAAACTTGGGAGCCCGATAATGTCAATCCATGCAAATGGTTTCATGTTACATGTAACAATGAGAACAGTGTTATAAGAATGTAAGCACACAATTTGTTGGACCATTCCATTTCTTCTGTTCATCCTTTTTCTTCAGAAAACATAATGCAAGCACAACTCGTTTCAGCGATCTTGGACATGCCTCATTGTCTGGTCATCTTGTCCCACAGCTTGGTCAACTTAGTAATCTGCAATACCTGTAAGTCAATGCCTCTTGTTGATTTCTATGATATAAGTAACACTTAATGTAGTTGTTACATTGTTGTATTTAGTTTTATGTACTTGATATGTAGATTTTATTTTTATGAGAACTGTCTTTTATTGATTGAAATTTCAATATGAAGAACACATAATAAAAACATCCCACATGTATAGAAAAACCTATTGATCTTCACAGAGTTTCACACCTTGGATCTCTGAATCCTACAGAATGAGATGTTGTTTCACGGAATTACGGTTCTGAAACTTTGGTTCATGTAAATTGATTGCTTTCTCTGATTACTGAGTAAGAACATATTATTGACTAAATCTATTGCTTATTATATTCTTTGGAATAATTCAATTTCATCTACCGTTTCTTGACAGGGAACTCTTTGGCAATAACTTTAGTGGTGTAATACCTGGTGTGCTTGGAAATCTAACCAACCTTGTGAGCTTGGATCTTTACTCGAACAATTTCAATGGTGCAATACCTGACTCTCTGGGGAATCTCTCAAAGCTCCGATTTCTGTATTTGCTCATTCTCTGACTCGTTCATCTGATAAATTTTCTTCGTTCCTGCTTATTCATGCTCCATAAATTTTATTTCTTCACATGCTTGATTAAGGAAAAAGTCATTTGAATTTTCTTTTCAGTTCCCAATAATTAATTAGGACAATCAAACAAGTATCTCCTGTATGCTGGATCATCACTCGTATATATTTAAATTCTGCTTATATTATCAGTAGATGTGGTACTACTGCCAATATTATTGAAGTTCTTTACTTTGTCAGTGTAGACTAATTTATCTGAAAGTTAACTATCAATTAATGAAAGGCATAGTGTTAATGCAATGCTGCAGCATATTCTTTTCTTAAAAAGGAATTTTGCAACTACTTTTACTTATTTCTAATAATCGGAGTGTTTTACTCCATGATTACCCTTTACCGTGGGAATTCAAATGTTCCCAATGCTAATGTTTATGGTGATATGCTGGATTAGTGCAGTAAATTAACTTGGTATCGTCGATATGCCATGTACCAGTATTGCATCCTTAGTATCAACCATCAAGGTCAATAATTGTCAATATCAGAGTGATTAGATGAATCTGGTCCTGATATATACAGCGAAGGCCATGATCAATCAAGGTCAAATTACCAGGTTTATTTTACCTAGTAACATCTGTTTCTGCAAATTTTGAGATGTATTTTAGCTATTTATTAAACATCAATATACCATGTATCAGTATCAGAATAGGTAAATACTGTTCGGATTTGGTTGGTCCAGTTCGATGTTTGAATCCTTGGTATCAGCAGTCAAGGTTAGAAATTGCCAAGATAAGATGGATTGGCTGAATTGAATTATGATCAGTACAGCCAAGGCCAAGATCGATCAGGATCAAATTAGTACGAATAGTTCACCTGGTATCATTCTGTTTCGGCACACTCTAAGGTGTTTTTCATGCATCCAATAAAGATCAGTATATTCTGGTCATAATTAAAACTAATTATGATCTTTAGTTAATGGCATATTGAATGTTAAGAATGCATGCTTTTTATTATTTTTCTCGCTTTCCTCTGACATTATGAATGTATAATTCCTAATTTTCTATTTTTTTTGTGCGCAAGGATAGTCGGCTAAACAACAATAGCCTCTCTGGTTCTATTCCATACTCTTTAACCTATATCACCTCCCTCCAAGTCCTGTAAGTTCATCGATGCATTTTGCGTTTGGACTAGACCATAATTCTTTTGTGAATTCTGTTATCTTCTGGACAATAAAACCTATCATATATATGCAGAGATTTATCAAACAACAACCTATCAGGAGAAGTTCCATCAAGTGGCTCCTTTGCTCAATTCACCCCTAACAGGTTCTTTGCTGATAAACAATACAAAGATCCAAGACTTTCTTTAGAAATTTGTGAAGATAAAACAAGTACTTACCATCTATATATAATTTTGCAGCTTTGCTAACAATCCTCTACTATGTGGTACTCTTGCTGCAAAGCCTTGCCCGGGTGCTCCTGCATTTTCTCCACTTCCACCATATGCTGTTGCTCCTACACCAATGTCATCATAAGTATGCAATGAAGAGCTTGACCAGATTGTGCTCTTATAGAATCATTTAATAAAGCATTCATCTGGTTATATATGTAAGTGCTTATTCTTGAATAAGCTGAAGGGTTCTACTATTAGAATGATTTAAATTTATGTGCCATGTAACTGGAAATTATCCTGAAATAAGAAAGCACCATTGCATTATAAACTCGAATATTATTTGATGGAGATGCATGTATGTTGTGTTTATGTTCTTCACTTGTAATGATTTTTTTTTTTGTATATTTCCTATTAATCTCTTTTCAATTGCTATTTTCCATGATGTCTCCTAACATTTGGTTTTTTTTTCACCTCTTTGCTTTAAATTATTTCTAGGAATGTAAGAACGGAACTTCTTGATTGCAGGAGTTGAAATTGGCAAATTTTAAGACCTTTCTACCTGTCAGACATTTTTGTTTTCTGAAAATAGAAAAAACTGCTCAAAGCAGGATGCTCAAACCAATGTAAGATCCGAGAAGGATTGGCCTATGCAGTTGTTTTCCGTGACTCAAACCTTGATGATCCAAGTAAAAATTGAACAACCTTATCATCACATGAAGACTTGTTCTTTTTAAAAAGATAAGTACAAGAGCAGCTTTGATTAAGATGAAGAAAAATTCAAATCCACTTATTGCAATTTTTCTCTTTAAAAAGATGCACCTCAAATTACTCACGTCAAGGAACCAACTCATGTGCCGGGCAATCATTACCACTTGAGATCTTGCTTCATGTTTATGAATACTCTTTAAGCAGTTGAGATGCACCTATTTCCATTCTGTAAGCTGTAAAGCCCATCATCAAGCTTCCAACATTTCAGCCTCCACCTATCTGATCTTAGGTTTTAAGTCAAGATTCTCTCTCTTTTTTTTTTTTTGGTCTAAACAAGTTAATAGGATCCCATGCTTATTCATGTGAATCCTAGAAGAAATTGCTCATGCTTATTGATGATGACTAAAACCATATGAAATTATCTTTTGATGGCCCCACAATTGGGTCCCACTTGATCCAATTAGAAAATGATTTTTGTATCTATTTCCTTGCAAAGCTAAAAAATCTACATATTTAATATCCATATTATTCCTATAATTTTAAAATCTTATTGTGGTAAGAAAAAGTTAATTAAGGTATTTAAATTATCTTTGTTTCAGGTTAGCTACTGAGAATCATGATTGATAATGATTAACTAAGAGTTTTGCCAAGTGACTTCACTCGCAAACAAACCCATCGTTCAGACTTTGCATCTGAAGATTAATATTAATCTTAGGGTGAAACAAAATCAAGAATAGTAATGATGGTTGGCATCACGAAGATTAATATCAATCTTCCGAAAAATGGAATCATTTAGTATCTTGAAGTCAAGATTATGCGTTAAGAGGATAACTGATCTGAGACAAAATAAATAAGTAAATAAATGAATAATATAATAAAAAAAATAGTATTATCTACTTAAATGTACAAGAAATGACAAATTATCAGTTTGAATCCCTGCACAATGTTCTCATCAAAATCTTTCTATGGACTAGCTTTAAAGTGCAAATTTGCATTTAGTAATAATCTACATTGCTTAATTTGTCATTTCTCAAGTAGGGACATGAGCTGAACTTTTCTAGCAATAACAGTAGGCTTTTGTGACTTCACTTGGTTCAAATAATGAAAATATCATATATTCCAAATAAAAAAAACAGACAATCATAATTTTTAGAGTTAACACAACAGGTCAGATAGCTAAAAACATAATCAAATCCCTTTAACTCTCTCAAAATTTACTACTAATCATTTGTGAAGCTGCTATTGCATCCCTCAAAACCTATGAAATCTGTAGCTATCCACTAGCACACAGCACTCAACATTTTCTTTCATGAAAAACACTTATTCTGAAATATCTTGATGCTCTTGAACTTAAAATCATACTAGGAGTTTCCTCCTTTTTCTTTCACTTTCTTATTTCTATAGCAAAACTTGGAGTTTGGCCAACCCAGGGCCAGAATGACAACTTGACAAAAGCAAAGATGCTAAAGTTCCAACTCTGGAGTATTATATATATGACAAATAATGAAGCAAAACCTTGTTAAATTAACAGTGAGGGACATCAAGCAGACAACTCTTCCATGACATACTTATTTCTTGTAGGCAAACCCTGACATTTTCCATGAAGGTTTAATTAGAGCTCCCTACTGCCTAAATTGTTTACTCCAAAGGAAAAAAGCATACTTTTCTGCAACAAAATTGATATAAAGCAAGTGGAAGAACTGTGGGGTTTGACTGCATTTAAGATCCACTTCTCTGAGAGCTCAAATCTGTTTTGAAATGTACAAGAAAGAGCAATTTGGTGGAATCTTGTTGCTGCAGCTGAACAGGAATAATTGGAATTGAAGTTTGCCAGCTGTTCTCACTTCTCAGTATAAAATAGTTTCTGCTCTGAACTTGAAGAATAACAACATTATACTTGTTGCTGTATGTACAGATCTTCATGCATTTTTTTCAAGAATGCTGTTAATAATTCCATCAATCATTAGTATGTACTTGATACGACATACATGAATGTGCACATGGAATTTGAATTCAAGAATCTTATTTACATGCAGGAGATACTTTAGTAGGTTTTGGCCCAATTATTGTAGTAGATATGTTTATACAATTTCTGATATGAAACATAGGAATCCACTTTTCACTGTTTGTACTACATAAGTTTGTAACAATCAATTCGTGATCACCTAATGCTTTTGTTACATGTTATCTTTGATTTGTTCAGAAGAAAGTTGTCTAATCCGTTGAAGAAGATTGATCGTCAATGAGCTCTGCTCATCGTTGTAGTTTGTACACTTTGTCAATGATTGATGAATCATGTGGACCCACTAACCATTGCAAAGTTTCCTAGTGAAATTTCCAAGGATCACTTTAGCCTACTTATAGAATAATTGTCTATCAATGTGCTAAGCAAAGGAAAAAAAGAAAAAAATGTCCTAAGAAAAGTGATCTATGGCAAAAGATGGTGGTAATGATTTTTTTACATGGGAGCTTGTTTTGATTTGTTGTATGTAAAAGAATGCTTTCGAACCCATCAAGTATCAAGAAATCAAGATTGCAATCATGCAAGAGCATACCTAAGCCTTCAATATGTACCTTCTACCTGCTTATAAGGTGTTATGTTTTTTGTTGTGGCCAAGACAAAATTTGCTATAATTTCCAGAAAACTATTGTGGGTTCAGAGAAACTAAGGCCAAATTCTGATGACACATCAATGAGATTGCTCCTGAAAATTGCAGACCAAAAGCATGCTCTGAAAGAAGTCAAATTGCTATAAGCAACATACACAGTAGGCCTCGGTATCACTAGAGTTGAAGTAGAATAAAGCGCAACTGTTAAATACAACAATTATCGAAGTGGCTAAATTGAAGCAGAGAATAATGGCTTATCTCTTCATGTTAAACTAAACATTCGAAAGTATCAACAAGTTGATGAATTCTCTCCTAATCTGGCATTGATTAAGAAATCCACATTATCAAGAACAATTTAGTTTTGCCATATACTTTGAGTGCCAGTAGCAGCAAGAAATTTTATGCATCTCCCTAAAGATGCAATGAAGTGGTACTTTGTGTCTTGTGTCATCTCTGGGTAGCCTGATAGAATAAGAATTCTTTGTTCCCAGTGTCTGCAGACTCTGCTTCATGTAGCCCTCTCTGATGCTTCATGCCGCAAACTGCTATCATATTTCCATAATTGTCTCATGTCAGACAAGTACTTGTTATAAATACTTTTGAGAGTATCAATGAACCAGCAAGTTGATGATTCAGCTCACCATGTCTCAAGTCTATGACAAATTGTATCATGTTCATGACAAGTAGCTTATTTCTGCTATAACCATGAACATCACTATTAACGAAAGTAGTTTCAATCTCTATGCATTTAATTAGACTCAATGTGCAATCTTTTCTGACTTGGTTCCGACAGTGCAATGTGGGGATAGACAGACCTGATATCATATTAGAGGAACCAAGGTAAAAGTTAGCACTCTAAACTAGGTTGCTAACTTTTTCGCGACAACATGTCGAAGAGGCAATTCGATTGACGAATTGGTTCACACATCCCTCAAAGAAAGTTGTGTTCTTTAATCCAAGAAGGAGGCACTGCTAGTTTAGTAACCATGGATGCGCAGACAAAAACCATACTAGTGTTCTCGAAAGACCTTAACAAGGTCCCTAAACAGCCTCTGGATAAGGGAGAACTCAAATACCATGTTTCACATGATGAATTTAGAATGATTAACATTGTCCTTACACGGTCGGAGAAGGTTATCAAGTTGATATTTGTAATAGTACTGATCAAGTTGTTTGATCCAAGTGCTAAGTGTTCTCCAGCTGTTGTTGCTGGGGGTTGTGAGCTCTCTCCTTTCTGGGAGTTAGTAAACAAAAGCTTGTTCTAAATGGAATCTCAATGGCAGTTCTTAACAGTGACCACTGGCTCTGGAGTTTGCTTGCTTTAGCTTATCAATCAAAACAGCTGATGGGATTTCTTCAAGGAACTATTAACATATTCTTAGCGTTGCTCAGATCTCAACATGAGCAGTCATCTGGTGGTGCAAGTTGTCAATAGTTTGGAGCTATATGCATGTTCTTAACTTGCAATATAATCTAAGCAAGAGAAACTGAGTGAAATGCAATTAAAGAAAAAGCATGCACATCATCAGTAAGATCATCTCATTATTTATTGAGTTCTTAGGTCACTATTTCTTTCTTTCTCTCTTTCCAGTTTCCAGTATCAATAGATAAAGAGATACTCTCAAATCAATATTGCAGATGAGGTACCAGGTGGGTGAATTAACAGCAGGAGTGATTGTGTTCATCGTATTATTGCAGTGGTTCCTCATATGCTTATCAAGATCAGACAGATGCTTGGTGTTACTGTTGAGATGTATTGTGTCTGGTTCCGACCCAACAAGATCAGATTATCCAAACAAAAGAATTCCTCCAACATAAATCAATCAAGCCATCCTTGGCCACCTGTTCCTACAAAGATTTGTGGCTCCTCTCTTTCCCAAATGGCCATGATTCAGCTTGTTGGCCGTTCATGGAATCATTGAGCAACTCTCTCATGGTCAAAGAGTTCAGAGACAGATTAAACTACACAAGAACTCAGAGCTCTGTCCCCTGGGAGCTCATCAAGCAGCGTGTAGTGGGGGGAGGAGTGCACATGCTTCATGGTGGCTCCTCGACAATGGCTTGGGATGTTGGACCAGCTCACTTCTCACCTTCCCCCTGCTATAAAGAAAGCCTCAAGCCTTCATCGCTGCACAGCAAACCAATTCAACAGCAATCTTTGAGCATTGCAGTAGGCAGTTCAAGTCTTGCATTAGCTTCTCATCGGAGTCATGGCCAGCATGAAGATGAGCAGCCAAGGAAGAGCATCTCAGAGAGGAGGAGGAGGAGGAGGGCTCAGCAGGATGGTGAGGGAGCAGAAGGCGAGGATGTACATCATAAGGCGCTGCGTTGTCATGCTCCTTTGCTGGCATGACTAACCTTCTCCCTTTTCTTGACTGTTCTTCACTTTCCCCTGCCAAGAAGATGGTGGTGGAGTTTTGGTGAATCCCTCAATGTGTGCGTGTGTGTATATATATAGAGATCACAAGTCCATAGAGTAGGAGGATCTCGTTCTGGTAGGATCAAAAAATCCTGAGATTTTTGGGAGTGCAATTACCATTAACATGTCAAAGGATTTCAGGAAGGAACTAATGCAACTCTTGTTCAGTTCATCTCTCTCTCTCTCTCTCATCATGTTTTTTATCCTGCAACTGAGATGATGAGTGAAACAATCAACTCTTAGACAAATGTGGTGGCAGGATTCACAAGGATTTGGGATGGTTATCTACACAATCCATATTCCATGGAGGAGAAGAAAATGGTGCCATTTGATCCTATCTACAGAATTTGTTGTTCAGTACTTCTGGCAAAAATACAAGCTGAAAAAGATAACATAAGGATATCAAAGTCCTTTCCCAAGCTGAACCTGCACAAGTGGTCAAATATTAATACTTCTTCGTTTTAATCTGATGTTGAACTGTTGGGGTAAATTACACTTTTCAAAGCATCTTTAAAGTTTTCTTTTACTTTTTTCGGTTCCAATGGTTAGTCCCGATTACTTTTAGCATTTCGATCTTTATATTTTACAAAATTATGAAAGTAAAATATATAGATCCATTAAGTTGATTTTTTTAATACAAATACGAAAATAAAAGATAAAAATAATAATTTTAATATTTACCATGGTTGATAGCAGATGGTATCGGTGATAACAGACAACAAGATCGTGGGTGATTATTGTGAACGAAGAAAACGACGAAAAAGGTGAGAGTCGCTCTACATCTGCATCGACGTTGATATAGTTGTTGAGTGGTCCTCACCTCTCATCGTCATTCTTCTCATCCACAATAATTACTATGTCCCTCAACAATGTCATCATCCATTACCACCGATGTCATCATCATCAACCAACTGAAATATTAAAATTATTTTTTAATTTTTTATTTTCATATTTTCGTTAGTAAAAATGACGTCGTTAGAATGAATTGACTTAGATGTTTCACTTTCGTAAGTTTAAAAATATCAATCGAAATATAAATTTTTAAAATATAAATATCGAAATACTAATTAATGACAGCTAATATGTAATTAGCCGTGAACGATCACACCGATGGGGACGCACAATTTTGGCTGTAGGTGGTCAGAAGTTTTTATAGAAGCTGGACACCAAATCTCGACAGCCTTCTTTCTTCATGTGGTGGAACTCAAAACACTTTGGCATCCAACAACATGCCATTTGGTTACTCAATTTCATGCAGTTCATTTAGAGTAAGCTTCCATGTGTTGCATACAAAAGGAGAGATCTTGCAGCACTCCCTTATTCTACTTGCCTCGAATATGTTGTTAGTTGTTGAATAGTAGAAAAATAACATGAGCAGTTTAGGGCCAAACAAAACATGGAAGTTGAAATGAGAATACAATGCACAGTATAGCTTTTGTGGAGAATCAATGTATCACAAAGAACAAAAAATTTTTATAATATGAGAACATGAATAATTAGTTACTAAGCATTTTGAGTTGATAAACAATTTTAAATATACACTCCCAAATTGATGGATAAAATATTTTGATCCATCAAGGTTTTGCAACCCTCATGAGAAATGGCAACCAATGTATGTCCTGACAGTTCTATGCTGCCTAAACATTGGAGGGCAAGAGCTTGAATTAAATCTTTGTAGGAGACTACTTTGCTGAAAGTGCTGCTGAAATAATTGAGCTGAAACTTTGCTTCTCTGCAAATAAATGATCTGCACCTTCAGCCAACATGTTTGGAATTCATAGTTCATGAACTCTTTACATACCAACAACTGGACATCTCATTTGCACTAACAGCATGCATCCTTTATACCTGATCAGGTTCTTATTAGTGATTACTGCAACAAATCAGGGATACCAAGTATTTTACAGCACATATCAGGCAGAGAGAATATAATTCAAGCCTGTTGGAAACAAATACATCAACATATAAATTCAAAAAACTTGTTTTAATAATGCATCAATACACAGCTTAAAAGAAGCATCACAGGCACCCAGAATATTTTTTCAAGTGGCAAATTCCTTGAGAGTGTCCAAGGTGAATCGAGCAGAAAAAGGAGAATTCAATGAGCAGTTAGCTCTTCTGATGCACAGCAATCACATGGATGTCCATTTCCTTCAGCATGACAGCACGGCCGCACGAATCACATGGTGCGGTTCTGGACCCACAAATACTCTCATGTTCAACAAGTCCTCTGAGACGATCCCGAGCATCTGCTGGTATACTGCCAGCTTGCACCATATCCCCACAGAACCGGCACATAATCAAACGAAGTGGGCAGGTCGACGATTGGTGTTCGATCTGGAAAAAAGAACCTATTAGCACTTTTCTGAGCAATATGCATCTTAAGATCCTGGTGCAGATTATGCATCTAAGAACTGAACTTAAAGATCCAAGACTAGAAAACATTGCACAATATCAAATCATTCAGTCTTGTTGCTTTCATTGATATAGGGGAAAAGAGAAGCATTCGTGCTGCTGGCCTCATACACAAGTACCAATACCAAAAGTGGGATTGAAGAACCAAGGCAGCCAATCAACAACTGCCAAAATTCTAGATTCTTTTTTTTAGTATAAATCATGAAAGAACATACATTGCGGAGGTAACAAGAAAGAAGCAATCAAGTTAGAGGAGGGAAAACTTGGTGCAAGGAACAAAACAATTCTAGATTTAGTTCCATATCAGTTATTGAAGCATGATAAAAAGAGATGCACTGAAGAGATCAACAAATCAGATATGTTTACACTTGACGACATTCCAGATATCCATTAACGTGTGATACATTAGGCAAACAATAAAACTACAACTACTAGGAAAACAATATAAATACAACTACTGTGTTAGAGAAGAAATTAAAATTGCATGATTCAGAAATCTATTGGTCATAGATTGAGTTCACAGAAAAGGAAAGCAATAGAATTTCAGGGTGCTTTTATATTTCAAATTGGAACCTAACAGTTTCCCCACAAACGCAATAAAAGAAAACCCGAAAAGATGCAAGGGTGGCATGACTGTGCATCTTGAGCCTTCACCAAACTTTAATATCATGAATACTCACTAAAGGAATGTCTATAACATTAAAGAATGATATCATAAAAGGTAAATCATTTACTAGTTAAAAGAGAAGAAAATGTGAATAAACGAAGATATGTCCTGAAAGGAAATTATGCTGACTAAGATGCAGAAATACTATTGAAGTAGCTGTAGAAATAGTTTGACAAAATCTTATACAGAGGTTAACAGCAATCCGAAAAGAGTCACCAAATAATTCACCCACCATTTGTTCCTTCTCTAGTATCACTCCACATGGGCAATGAACTGGTTCATGAAACACCTTCATGTGCTTCTCAATCTGCTCCTGTTGGAAAGCTTGTCCACATTTGTTGCAATGCACATGACTTGCTGCTTCCTCCTTCCTAAGGACAACTCCACAGCCATTGTGTTGGCAAAGAACATTGTGCCGAAAGCAATATGCCTCATGGAGTAAAATGGTCCGGCTGGATATAAAATGTTTACAGTTTTGGCATTCCACAGATTCCATATCAATTGGTGACGAAGCAGTAGCATGTCCCCCAATCTGTTGTTTGACATTGTCTTTGAAAGCTACAGAGATACGATACTTTGTCACACCTTTGAAACCAAAGACACCAATGCTATATGTACCAGCAACCAGGTTTGGATCCTTCGGTCTGACTGTCAAAACCTTTGAACCCATCTCATGAGATGACCATTCGTGACGATGTTGAGTTGGGAATATCAATGGATGTCTAGATAGATAAACATTGGTATCAGCATCACCTGCGTCTGCCTCAATCTTTACTTCAATATTCATACGACCAGATGCAACCTCATCAATAATGGCCGCCTCAACAGAAAACTTGTAATAGTTGAATGTTCCTTCTTCAACAATTCCTTCTTCAACCTTTCCAATAACAAGTGGTGCAAGTACAGGCTGATTCCTACTACTCTCCTGAGCAGAATCATGTCCTTCTATATCAACTTCGATATCTGTTTCTAGGACAGAAACACTTGAAGCAGGTTTTGTCTCAAGAACCCTCAACTTGTAGTTCAGTTCTCCATAACTGACAGTGATGATGTCACCTTGAGAAAGAGTTGCATGTCTGCGGAGAGTTGTCTCAAGGACAGCCTTGTGGTTAGGAATGTCAGAGAAGCCCATCCCCTCTGGTTGTAATTTTGCATATGTACCTTTGGGCAAGCTAACATAGTGCACCTCAACAAGAGGAACATCGAGACTGACACCAGAGAGTAAATTGCTCCATACATGTGAAGGTAATTCTACTGAACCCTCTCGAGCTGTAAATTCCAAAACTCCTGAATGAGTTGCTCGATGTTCCACTTCGTCAGTAGCATCTGAAACTGATGGAACCAATTCATCAATCACTGACAGCCTGAAATACATGGGGCCTTTATCGAGGGCCCCTTGATCAGACAATTCCTGGAAACAAGAAGGTGGCAGTTTGATCTTGTCTCCGAACCCATTAAAAGGTATAGCTTCAAGAGTGCGACAAAATATGACCCCTTTTCCAAGAAGCATGCTTTCCTCCATTCGTTGCTCTGCCTGCAAGATAAATTAGGTTTTCATCTTAAGAAAAATCAACAAAAGAAGTTCCCAAGGATCAACCAAAAAGCAAATATGTCGAAACAAGAAAAAGGTGCAGATTAGCATTCTTTGATAGAAAGCAGATGAATTTAGGCATTCTCAGTCAGCATAGTTCCTACATTACTCCTCAAAATTTATTAATAAACTTGATGAGTTCTACGTGCACATAAAGACTGATACAACAGGCAGGCATCAATGCAAGCCACCACATGGTGACCTTGGGAAGCAATATTGTTAATCAGGTAAACAAACATCTCTAAAGAGTAATAATGATGCCAAGCAATAGAGTCACAGATTGAAAGTAGATGAATAATTTTTCAATGATAAGCATTTTACTGTTGAAGATGGCAAACGACCATGTCAAGGGAACAAAAATTAGTTATAAACATTGTATGAAGATTCAAGTGAATATGGCCTTACAACACCCATCACTATCAAAACACACACAAAAATAGAAACTCTTCATCCTAAGCAGTTGATGACTCAGAATTTTGAACAGTATCATCTGATACAAAAGCATAAAGATTGTCCAATCCAAATAACCAAAGTTAGATTTACCTGGGGCCAAATCTCAAGGCCCAAAAGTCTATGCATGGCCCTTTGAATTTTAGAGCATCTTAAAAGTGAACAACTAACCTTATTTTGATAAGACTCTGCAAATTGAACAAATTAAAGGAAAATTTTTTTATTGCCAAGATTATGACCAAACATGTTCAGGAACCCTAGAGACATTTATCGACTGAATCGATGATCAACGAACAAACCAGATTAACGACATTATTATCCATAAAGATTAGCATCACTTATTTCTTTTACAAAAAAACTGCACTTTCGATTAATTGGGTCACCATATCATCCCTTGTTCGCTCAGGAAGAAGGACAACTCAGCCAATCTACCCCTAAAAGACCAACTTTTTCAAAAGCAGACCCCAAGACAAATTTTCCCCATGAAATCACTAAATACACAAGATTTGCTCCCAAAATGGAAAACAGATTCTTCTCCAGAATACAATCATACCTAACTTACATTGAGCAAATGCTACGGACATTACATGAAAAAAAGGAAAACTTTTTGCCTAATTCACAGATTATAGACCCAACACAACCAAAAGAATCCAACAGTAAAAGAAACAGAAGGAGAGATGTGAGACCTCGATTTGTGCGCGCGCGGCATCGAGGCGCTTGGAGCGCTGGGTGGCCTCGATGGCGTCGCGTTGGCGGGCGGCCTCGGCTTTGGCTCGCCTCTCCCGCTCAAGCTTGGCCTTGGCCCGCTCCTTGCGCGCCCTCTGCTCCCTCTCCAACTTCTCCCTCGCCACCCGAAGCTCGAAATCCATGTCGATCGGATCGAATCAAGCCACTTCCCTGTGCGATTCGCCCTTTCCCTCCCAATAAAGAATCGGATCGACGGAACGCGAAGAAATCGACGCAGATTTGGATGATGAGGAGGAGGAGTTGCTGCAGCTGCTATGAGACCGCAAAGGTGGGATTAAATCGGCGAACCACCGAAGTCCGACTCCTTGCAGGAGAAGGCAAGCCAAGCGGCGCGCTTACGTGTGCACGTGCGTGCGTTCGAATCGCGAACCATCGAGAGACTCGTGGACGTTAAATAGCACCTGAGTGGCCCGTGCGGACACGTCCGATTTCTCCACGCGTGTGGATGGATGGTCCATGATCGATCCTATGGACGGTCCCGATCGATCGTTGGTCTTCATCCTATCAATCATAGGCTCGAATCCTAAAGATCCGAACTCCTATCTTGTTATTATTACATCTCAATCAAGGTAGATAAATGGTTTATTTACGTAATGAGAAATAAATTAAATGGACAATAAGGTATAACCAACAACTCAGGCTTCTTTTTCTCTTATCATTTGTGACATATGATCAACATAAAACATCAAGAATGCATCAACCGTATGCACAATTTATCTCTATTGTACATAGAACACACACAAACATATATATATATATATTACAAGGTGAAAGCCAAAGCTTGCACGGCCAACGAAGGGTGTGGCAGTTCAACGTCAGAAGGCCCTGAGGTCATGAATCTTCTTCCTCCACGACTGCTCCCTTTGCGTCCTCAGCTGCTTGTAGAAGTTGCCAATGAATGCCTCACACTTTGTGAACAGCTCCTGCGTGCTGAGCTCTCCAATGTCTTCCCACTTCTCCTCCTCCTCTTCTTCTTCTTCGTCTCCGTCCTCTCCATCGGAGTCCTTCAACGGATGCAGTGTCCCTTCATGGAAGGCACAATCAAGCATATCTGCTATGGTCAGAGGAGTAGCAATGGACGTCGTTATGTTCTTCTCGTCGTGAGGGTCAGAAATCATTTGAAGGAAGCCGGCCTCGACGCCCAGAGCAAGGATAAGGATGTTGAGGAGAAAGAAGAGGTAGCAAGGCCTTATGGATGCAGGCACAAGAGGAATGAAGAGGAGTACGAGGAGGAGGAGCACTATCTTTGCTATTTGAGACTTCAAGTGATTCTCCATACATATAATTATTTGAAGATGAAGAGTTGTGGTAAGTTGAAGCTCTCGGTGGTGTATTTATATATAGTCATTTGAAGGTGATTAGCTGTACTTACATGAAGGACAAGAAGAAGATCTGAGAATGGTGGCCACATCAAACAGCTGAAATCCTGTTCTTGCCTTCCTTATCTTCCACTTGGTTAGTGGACCGGTCCTTTCAAGACACAGAGTGCCACTACAAAGAAAAGGTCCAATAGCTAGGTCATGCTTAATTGAAGCCAGCCCCCACTTCTATCACTGGTTTTTGCTGCAAATGGATCATCGGAGGACTCTTCACCTTCACCATTTTCTCTGTTTGGTAGCCTTGGAGTGCATGAAAGAATCACTCCTTTGATCATCTTGTGCCACGCTTTGGTCTTTGTCCGGAGAACCAGCGGAGCACCAATCACACAAACCATTTGCGCTCAATCTTGCGGACTCGAAACTTCTAATGCTGTCAGCTCTTGTTTGTCCGAGGAATTAGTTTGGTAGCAACTACATGGTGCTCCAGCACAGCATGATTGACTTCCTTGAGAAGAAGCTGATGCTGAATGAAATGATAACTCATCACACTCGTCAAACCCTCCTTCGTTTTCGCTATGTTCCCCATGGTAGCGGCACTTTCTTGAAGCATGCATGAAGCTTGAATATTTTCCGCTTCACAGTAGCTGATGCAATCATATCATTCTCTTGAGACCGACTGTGGATGCATCATGTTGCCTCAATCTCTCTTTTCCTTTTCTTCCATTAACCGCATAGGACATACCGGACCTTCTTGCATTCATGAAACTGGCTGTTGATGATTATATGGCATTTGTAGGTCTTTGTTCTGAAGCTAGAAACGTATACACAGCCAAGGTTGGTGAAGCATGGATATTGAATATCTTTTTTCTCGTGATTAAATGAAACCATCATTCTCTCCGGACTGACTGTTGATGAACAGCAGAGTCCATCTCTCTCTTTATTTTTGTCTCCGGACTTCATAATTCGTAGGTCATTGTCCGTAAGAATTTTGTGAAGAATGGATAGACAGTTTGACCATCTAGCTTTTAACTTTAGCTTATGGAACAAAGCAGCAGAAGGGCATCTCCAAGTCATCGAGTGGAACTAAAGGACATGAAGATGGAGAGAGCAAAGAGAGCCATGTCATATGTGGTTCCTTCCATCGTTTTCCTATGTCCCGTGTCCAGGTAAGATGCTTCACCTTGCTCTCATTGTTACAAGTGTAAAAGTACTATTGAATCAGATTACAGTTAAAATTGAATATGATTTAGAGTTTAAGTTTGATTAATGTGTGTGTGTGTAAGTTTTGCAGGAAGATATACAGAGGTCTATGGATTGTGGAGCAGAAATCAGAAGAATGAACCAGGCTGAATCTTAGGCAAGCAATCTGGAAAGTCTTATCCATGCTTGCATCATACCAGGAAAGATGAAGCCTGAATCCAACAAAATGGTAGTATAAGAATGTTAATGTACATTATCATCATAAAAAAAATGTTTCATGCAGTGCTTGATGAACAAAGCATGTGAAATGCCTATCAATCTTATACCACGGAAGATGCAGCAAGAAACTGGTGACACAGTTACTGAGTCACATCTATGATAAGGTAGTCAAAGATATATTGAGATCATAACGAAGTAGCAACTCACAACTCAAACACATACTTGTTTGTAAGAATTATCCATGACTGTCAAACTGCACAAGAAATATGTCTCACACAACCCCACATACTGGATGTGGGGTCTCTTTCATAAAAAGGTCTCCCGTATGGGTATTATGATCTCACACCAAGTACCACAAAACTAGCCCTCGTAATTAAACACCCTGATAGATCAGATGATGGAATAGCAGGAGAGACTTACGGAGACAGCAAGTACTGCCCCATCCAGGAACTGAAGCGAGACCAAGCCAATTCAACAGCTGCAGGGTCGCCATCAGCCATTCCCATTTCCTTCCTCCTTTTGATGCCATCTGGAGATGCGTTCATGAACGCATGAGCGCAGCCTGGATAAATATACACCTCATACGGAACTCCAGAGGATTTTAGCTTCTCTTCCAATGCTTTTGCTGCCTGGTGAAAGAATAAAAAAAAAGGGAAGTGGGTTTGTTTCTTGAGCACTAGAAACACTATGGGTAGAGTACAACCACGTTATACTTGGGAAAGTAACTGGAATCAGTCAACATTAGATGCTTTAGACAATGAAACAAAGTTCTTGTATATATGGTTTTTTGTGACTGCATATTTGACAAAAGTATTGCGTGACCAGAAGCTGAAAGAATGACATGCTTCAAATCCCTAAACTTTCGCTCTGTATTTATCACATACTATGAGTAAAAAATTCTAATCATATTCTAAGAACTCTAATAGAAAAATAGTCTCATGATTAAAATAAAGTGAATTGATGAAAAAAAATGCAAAAGATGATCGATCATACATTCCATGATTATCAGAAAAATGCATGTGATAAGATTCTTCCAAGATAACAAGACTAAGGAAAACGTTGATGGTCATACGAAAAACTTTCTTATTAGTTTACAAAGGAGACAATAAGAAGAAAATTAAGGCATGTGAAAGAGAATCATACACTGATATCAGAGAATCCAACAATGTTATCCAGCTCCCCGAAATGAGCTTGAATAGGTGCCTTGGCCAATGATGGATCAGCAAGTTGAGGTGGAGGACTTCCATAAAAGGCTACTACAGCATCAGCTTCAGGAACCAGAACTCCACTTGCAATAGACAGGGCGCCTCCCATGCAATATCCAGTCACACCAACCTATGAACAGACAGCTTAGCTAATAAAATATAATGCTTAGGCTTAGGTGCGATTCAGAATGCTTGATGCTTTTCTCACATAAAAAGGGAAAAAACTAAGATGTCATTTTACCTGAAACTCAATAACAAGGAAGAGGGCCATTCATATGTAACATGCACAATTCATAACTTAAATATGATATTCAGTAAAAGTCATAGCCACCTAACCTAACATATGAGATAAAAGAAGAGCAAATGGTACAGGATATTCGTCAAAACTTGAGTGTTCCCTCATGGACAGAAACGTACCATTATCAGATAGATAGCATGGTTGCCAGAAAAATTCTGGAAAGAGTGAAAGAAGTATTCAGAGCCTTAATTAATGGTGCATTCGACGAGGAATGCAACCCTAAGTGCAGACAGGTCAACATAAAATTACAAATATGTCAATCATAATTAAGATATATCATGACTAGCTTTTATTTGTAAAGATCCATGCTTGTGGTAGGTGGAGTGGCAAGCAAGAAGTAAACAAACTCCTAGGTCCCAAATGCACTAATGATATTTAATTTGTAACTTTCATTAACCAGTTGTCAGCATCATCAATTCATTAAACACAAGTTGTCAATCAGCACCTTTGATGAACCAGTTGATTTAAGCCAATTAACTGAAGCACGTATGTCCTTAACAGCACCCTGCCAGTCCAAGCCTTCCATCAAGTGTTGTGCCTCAGCAGCATCCAGACCAAGCTTTCCACGATACAAACTGAAAAATGGAAGCAAGAGAAGTCAGAGCAGAAACAATGCCCAGAACTAAGATACAACAGAGATGGAAATTCAGCTACTGAAGATCATACTATGGTTATGAAACATGAAGGACTGGCCAAGGAATGAAAAATCCATCACCAGAAAAGGGAAGGGCATCAGATTTCTTACTCTGGAATAAGAGTTCTATAACCTGGATTCATTTGTGCAATGTGTAAAGCATGGTTCTTGATCTCAAAATCAACTCCCCACCACTCTTGCAGAACTACTATCCCTGGAGCATTATCTTTGCCAGCTACATATGCATCAAATGTCTGGAGATGAAGAAACAAGAACCAAACTATCAATGTTATAGCCAACCACAAAAACTCTACACAAATGTGAATTATTTTCAGGAAGCATGTATGTCAACTACGTAAGGCATTCTGTTTACAGACAAGGTCTGGCTAGATTCAGGAGTTTCTCAAGCGAGGGTAGGTTTCATTAATCATAACACCAGAATCCAAATCTGGTATTTAACTTCGATAAAAATAGCTCCGTTTTTAACATAAAATAGAGAAGCCACTACAAGCACAATAAAGCTAAAAAAAGATAGAATCAAGTTTCTATGCAATTCCTACAAGCACAATACTGTTTTCCAGTAGTATAATTAAGCAAATGAAGACCAAGGTTCGATTCATGGAGACGGCCTTTGGTAAGGTTGAGTACATTGACCTCCCCATTCACCACATTGGTGGGAGCCGGGTACGCCCTTTAGTATAATTAAGCAAATAATATAGCATGCACTCTATGGTTTTAATTGTCTTTCAGCTAATTCTCACTCCAAAATTTCATCTGACCGTGGATAATTATCATATTTCAGATGAGAAGGGAACATCAACCGATCAACCGCATACTTAACCCTCTCCAAAGCGGTCAGGAATTTCATCAAACATATACCGTGCTGAGTAATACCAAACTAAATGCATCAGACAACAACTAGATCCCCAAGTTCGTGCAATCTATCTAGACAAAATTACAGGAAGAATAACCTATCAAGATTCGATAACCTCGGAAAACCCTGCGTAAAAAAGAGCAAAACAATTTTGGAAAAGACCTAGACGTTTCCCATTCTACACGCCTCGATCGCCCTCCATGGCGGGCTCCGGAGAACGCAATCGGCAAAGGGAAAGAAAAAGGTAACGAGAAAGAAGGAGAGCACTCACGGTGTCGTCTCTTTGGATCTGAACCTTCCGGAAGGGGCCGGAAGCAGTGGCGGAGTCGGCGGCCATGGATCGAGCGAAGAATCTGCAAGTAGCGGCCCCGAAGAGATGCGGTAGGAAGCGACGGGTTCCGAAGGCGACGGAGCAAGACGAAGTAAACGACCTCAGCACCAAAGACGACGCCATTTTTGCTCCTCCAAGCTTCGCACTTTATAGTGGAAGGTCTTCACGGGGGTTAGTTGGAGTGGGTAGCTCGACAATGATAGGTTACTAACTCACACGCATCACAAAGCATATCGGACGGTATATCAGATGTCTCCTTTCCTCCA